AATTGTAAATTGTCTGTATCTGGTTTCCATTCATGTTTGATCAGTTGTGCCTCGCTGTCAAGTACTGCCCTTTCAAGTTGCTTTAATTCCTGCCAGAGATTCAAATTTTGAACATCAAATGCGTACTTTATAGACTTTCGCACATGAAGTTGCTCTGTTCTGTTCTCTTCCTGCAAACAGCTTGGCGCTCAAGGCAGATGAGAGGGTGGTCCCTGGGGCCAGGTTTTAAGGGGGGGGGGTTTGTGGATATCTGGGAATTCCTTTGATGTGGCTTGTGGGTGGCATTATTTTTATTCCCTAGAAAACAAGGACACAGTAGCAGCCCTTAAACTGCTAGCACGATACACTCAGTAACTAGAGCATTGGAGAACATTCTGGTTCCTGATGAATTAAAAGTGGAAAAAGCTGTGTATTCCGTATAAAAAGCAGTCCCTCATGCTCTTAAGTTGATTGAAACCCTTTGTGTGTGCAATGTGTAAAGCGAACTGCTCCCGCGCACCTGGGAGAAAGTCTCCTGCCCCGGAGTACGTCTTGCTAACTTATTTCACTCTGTTTTTAAGGTTCAGTATTACAGAAGTATATCAACATTTAAGAATAATTCTCTCTAAAGGCTGTATATATAGTCATAAACTTTCAGATCACATTTTTTCGCACTCGGGATGTTGCTAATGAAGGTCATGATATTTTGTATTGAGGTTAGTTTCATAAGGGACATAAAGTAGTAATAGTATCAGATACAGAATACTGTAGGATATGCTTTTGATGGTTCTTTTGGCTTGGCACAAAAGAGGTTTGAAATGTAAAATATAATTAAAATCTTAAACATCTGTTGAAGATTCTAATTATGTCCTCCAAGATTGAGTGAGACACTGCAAACTTGACTTTAATCATCAAAAAAAGAAGCTTTGCACTAACAGCATGTGGTGCCTTAATACAATCAAGCATGGACTCCGTGGGTTTGTCAGAGCCTGATACAGTGATCGCAACAGCTGTGTGCCTCTGAATTCTCTTCAGAGTGGGCAAATTAGTGGGATGCTGGAATCTCTTTTATCACAACTGCTAGTCAAGATGTCCCAATGTGAGATCTATAGGGCTCCACTCTGGGCTACTAGTCACCCATGGAAAGATGTCACTTTTGGCTCTTTGTTGTGGAGTATGAGGCCTTCATTAGCAACTGTTTTATAGTCTGGAAAATCTGCTTCATCTTGCTGTTGCTCATGCATGGTTTCTTAACATAATCCTGCAGTAAATTGTATTTATTATTATAAAAACATTTATGAACACGTTCCTCGTGGAGGATGTTAAAAAAACCACAATAGTGTCAGTCTTGAATGAGGCCTTTACCGAGAAGGTGGGCTCTGTAGTTCGGAAATTCAGTTGTTTTTATCAGTGGAAGTTTTATCAAGGTCTCGTTCTGATTCCTGATAGATAGATTCTTTATTGATCCGGTGAGGGAAATTGCAGTGCAACAGCAGCTTAACACAGACAACACAGCCACAGTGTAACGAATGATACAATAATAATAATACAATACATATCAGTACAGTGAGAAGTGCAGTACGAAGAGTTATTCACAGTCCAGAACACACAAAGAACAGAATAGTACACAAAAAAGTCGTATTGCACAATATAAATATAAGTGTATTGCACAGGTTCCTGGCATATATTGCACAAAAACGGTTGTAAATGGGGAAAAAGAAAAAGAACAGATGTAACAGTTTACTGTTCAGTCCAGAAACAGGTCACTGTCAATGTTGCCTCTGCCCAGACACAAAGTGGATGCGTTGTACAGTCTTATGGCACAAGGCAAGAATGACCTCCTGTAGTGCTCCCTGTCGTACCGTGGATGGATCAGTCTGTTGCTGAACATGCTCTTCATTTTCACAAGCCTGTCATAGAGTGGATGGGAGGGGCTGTCCATGATGGCCTCTAGTTTGGACACCATTCTCCTCTCAGCCACTACCTCCAAGGGGTCCAGGCCAGACCCAATGACAGAGCTTGCTCTCCTGATGAGCTTGTTCAGCCTGTTAGAAACCACTGCTCTAATCCCAGAGTTGATGCCTTCACTCTTAATCTGGTGCCGTCAGGTAAAGTGGTATAGATGATCTGACATCATCAGTGGGCGTGTTTTCATCTCTTCTCTGCTGGTACAGGGTGGTATTGCAGAACAGTTCAGTCAAAATTGTTGATGTATAAACTAAACAAAGATCAGATACGACGTTTAATTTAAGTATATATTGTTTTTATTGCATCTGAAGTTTCTGAAATATTTCATTTTGAGTAAATGTCTTTAAAACTGAAAGTGTTCCAAGACATTTTAATACAAATTTAATTTCAGTCTAACAGTCCCTTTGTGAAAAGGTATCTTGTAATATCTAATAAGCTGGATCACAAAAAACATGGGTGCTTATGGCAACAGTTAAAGAAGTTTAAAAATCAATTCAAAATGCTTTAAAGATATTGGTTTAGGTTCATTTTTGGACTGTTTCTTTGGCATTCAAATAAGCTTGGAAAATACTGAAGTTAATTGGTCTAATTAAAATGATTTCACTATTTTATCTCAACACTAACATTCCTCGCTAGAGTATAAAGAATGTGTGGTGACCACCACTAATGGATTTTTTTTTTAGAAAGAGAGACACAGTTTAGACTTTTTTAACTGACTCACCCCAGAAATATTTAGATACCACAGAAAATGAAAACTGTAAGCATTGACATACTGTATAGCTAATCCAAACATGAGGCAATGGGTTTGGTGTGATTTGCTCTTGTCTGATATGGAAGTCCTTTAACAGTGCTGTGATAAGAAAAAAGCTGATAATAGAGCTCAGCTTAGATAAGGCACATAGTGAAGATGGGAGCTGGTTGATTGAAGTGAGAGAGAGTTAACATTGTTTTGGTCTTTTAATTTTTTAAGTACAGTGCTACGTGACAACATGAAAATAATTTGTGAGCTTTTTGTGTTTTCCATTTGTTACTGTATCTTTAATGAGATATATATTATTTTAGTGTCTTTTTTCTAAAATTTGGTAAATTGAGGTCCTTTTCAGCAGGAATTCTGGGTTTCAGTGTCTCAAGGAAACAGTTGATTTAATTTATTATTGTAGAAATGGTTTTTGATAGAGCTCATTTCCTGACATTTTGATACACCATCCAAACTAGAATGACCATACCTTTTTGGATATTCCTTTAGAGCAGGGGTCTCCTACCGTGGTGTTGGTGAGCCCAAGTCCAGTTATGCTGGCATCACACCACACGACTTTTCCTAGGATTTTCAGTCATAGCTTTCATTTATATAATCGTAATAAAATCACAGCGAGTTGTAGAGAGTCCGATACCGTCAGTTGTGTAGTGTGACACCCCCAGCGACTCAGTCATAGCGCTTTTAATAGCCCCTTCGACTCTCTGTGACTGGCTACAACAAAATAATTTGATTTTCTCGTAGCGAGTCGCAAGTCATAGGGGTGGTCTCTTGTCCAGTCAACAGCCAATGAGCACTCAGCTGGAATTTCGATGCCCACAAACAATGAAGAACAATGGTGATGAAACCATATTGTCCACGACCAAACAAATGTGGTCTACTCCACATTTTTCAGCGTATCCCCTTCTTTTTTTTCACCTCACAAAAGAGGGCACAGGCTGCAGCAACGGTGGCAACTACTACTGCTTGTTCTCCAAGTTTGTTGACTTTCGTGCGTTACTCCTCCTCTTATTCTGATGTGCTCCACTTTGATTGGCTGCCAAAATGAGGCGACCTCATGGTACTTTGGCGGCGCAATACAAGATTTGGAACTGTGATGAAAAGTCGTGAGAGAATCATGTAATTAGTCACCCCCTGTGATTCCTAGTCTTATAATTTCACACCCTCTAGGAAAGACAAGGCAGCGAGATTAAGCAACTGCAGCAGTTAAAAATGACATGCTCTCCGACTAAAAGTCGTGTCGAGTCATGTAGTGTGACCCCGCCATTAGTCTTAGAGGTCAAACTACCTTGCCTGTTTTATTAAGATTAGGTGTACAGGTATGTTATTTATCAGTTAAGCTGTTTATCCAGCTGACTGTGATATTTCCATTCAATGTACGATTCTCTTTTAGGCTGATCAAGTTGTTGAATGGATCTGCTGTTTATGAAAGTCCTCTTTTTCTTTTATTTAAGCTTCACTGTTTGAAGATGCCAGTGGTTCTCTGACAAACAAGTACTTTTCTACTTCAATAGCTGACTTTGTTTACTGTAATTCTTAAGACTTAACATCTAAGACTTGGCTTTTCAAATAGAAGTTTTTGCACTTGTGTGTGTAGTATGTACTGTATTAATTTATTTTTAGTAGCATTTATTTTAACTCTCTCTGAACTTCAAAACAGGGAAGGTTGTATCTAAAGAGAACATCCTTTCAGATATGTTTGCAAAAATGGTTGCACTTATTAGTGAAGTACACTGTTTATTTACTTGGGCATAGTCAGGCGGGTTATTTTGTATAAGCTGTATAAGTTGAAACTTCACGATATAAAGAAAGGATGTAAATGACCTGTTCTGTACTGTGAAACATTGGTGACAGATTGTCTTGAGGTGTCCATTTTGCCTCTTGATCAAAATATCCATCATCCTGAATGTGGGTTTCATTGCTATGGGTGATGACAGGTTCACAAGATGAAGCCAGATATTCCTTCTGTGGTTTCTGCACATTACAGGTATCTGTCATGAGGATATGGATGAAAATATCATAAACTAAACTGGAAAAGACTGAGGTTATCCTCATAGGCACCAAACATTAATTTCACAAAGTTAATTTTTTATTTAAGAAGTTTAGATTATTTGTGTGGAATTGTACCCAGCTTTAAGTTTTTTGAAAATGTTTAATTACTGAACTACACAAGGGAATCCATGATATTTGACATCTGTTTTAAGTAATCAGCAGTGAGACTCTTGTATGGTATCAATCATATGTCCTTGAATTGTAATGCAATTCTGAAGAAAAACTTTTCTTTCTTTTTGATTAATAGATTCATTATGCTGTCACCATGGAAGGGAAATTTCACGATGTAGGGAGGCCTGTGAGCAGGTAAGACAACTTCACGGTATAGTAACTTCACTTAAATGGCTCTGAAATAATATGGTGCACATAACAAAGCAAATAAAGAATTATTTCCTTTAAGTTGTTTACAAATAGCAGACTAGGTACAGTTTTTCATCCAATGCAACTTTTCATTAACCAATTAATCAAAACCAATTCATTAAAGCTTATTAATGACTCACATTACCTCACACAATATGATAATGTCAGACAAAATGGACAAAATCTGGTAACTGGAACTCAGATGAAACGTTTGTCCCATCTCATTTTATGACAACATCTTCAACAGTAGCACAGGGTTCTTGTTTGTTGTTTTCTAGCTCCCAAGATATAAAGAACCATTCTCCTCTTTTGGTTTATAACTCAAAACTAGAAGGAAAAATACCAGCTTCATTTAAAATCAAATATTTGTCATTGATCTGTGAGCATCTAGGTGAATGACACCATTAGTGTGTTACTTTTGTACAGTCCTTCTAAAAAACCTGTATATCGTCACCGTTCAAAACACGACCTCCATAACCTATGTGGATTATTGCGGCTTTTTTCTCTACTTTTTACAATGAACAAGAGGTGGGCACTTGTGCTCTGATGAGAGATATTAAGTCCAGCATTTATTTTCCTCATGGGAGGCCCGTACTAAATTCAGAAGCAGAATAAATAAATGGCGGAAAAAAAAGAAATTGTTTGAATTTTTTTTTCTACAAGCAAAAAAGGGCACTTGGGCCAATGAGGTCAAAGGGTTGGGGCCTGAGCCACTGTAGCCTCCCCGCTCTGCACGTCCCTTCTGTCTAGACATGGAAAGAGGTTTGAACTTTATGATTTTAATGACTGAAACGTCATTTAAAACTAGTACACTAGAGCAAACATATTCTGAGATAGTTCTTCATAAAAAAGCTGATGACATTTTGTTTAAAGTCTGATTTTTTTCAAACCTGGCAAGACATGACTCATAATAGCATGACAGGATGAGACACGGGTGCACTTTCCAATGAAATGAGTTGTTATTCGTGTGGGCTCATTCCTCAACTACATCGACATTTGAAAATGAGAGCAGGTTATTCGGCCTGGCCTACATATAGTTTGGTTTTTAGTAGTCATAATAATACTCCTTGCATGTGTAGTGATTAATTAATTATTAATAATCAATCATCAGGAAAATAATTATTTGAGTAGACCGGAATCTATTGTAAAAAAAAAAAACACTCGTACATGTTAAGGAATACAACAAATGCCAACAACACTAAAACAAGACAAACCAATAGACAATATGGGTTAACAGCAGATATATTCAGTTCTCCAAAGGTAACAGATGTCCTTGACTCAGACTTCCACTGCAGGTCGGTCTGTTCAGATTTTTCATTGAACAGTGTTACATGCTTGCACATGCAGAGTTTGTTCTGGGATTTTTCACTACAGTTACAGTAGGTACTTAAGTGAATATTGAAATGCAGCTCACAACTGGCAGCCCACTAAAGCTAAGCAGATTTGAGGCTGGATGTACAGTACCTGGATGGGAGACCTTCAGGGAAGAGGTGTTGCTGCTGGAAGAGGTGTTAGTGGGGTCAGCAGGGGGCGCTCACCCTGAGGTCAGTGTGGGTCCTAATGCCCCAGTATAGTGACGGGGACACTATACTGTTAAAAGGTGCCGTCTTTCAGATGAGACGTAAAAACCGAGGTCCTGACTCTCTTTGGTCATTAAAAATCCCAGGGCATTTCTCGAAAAGAGTAGGGGTGTAACCCCAGTGTCCTGGCCGAATATCCCATTGACTTTTCCCAGTCATGGCCTCCTAATAATCCCCCTCTATGAATTGGCTTCATTGATCTGCTCTCCTCCCCACTGATAGCTCATGTGTGGTGAGCGCTCTGGTGCACTATGGCTGCCGTCACCCCATCCAGGTGGATGCTGCACATTGGTGGTGGTGGAGGGGAGTCCCCATTACCTGTAAAGTGTTTTGAGTGGAGTTTCCAGAAAAGTACTACGTAAATGTAAGGGATTGTTATTATTGTTATTGTAGCGATATTCTTCCTGACAGGCAGCAAATGCATTGTTATTTAACGGGTGAGTGGAGCAGCACTGGAGAAACATAATAAGGAAAGTTATTTGCAGGACCTTCTGAATTTTATGAATATGGACCTCTGTACTGTTGCTCTAAATAGCATGCACATGTAGCTGGCCTTTAGAAACTGTTTAAACTTTTGAGATTATTGGCTAGAGAGCGAGGTGGTGCACAAGGCAAGATGGTCCAGGTCCAGAGAGTCGGAGAAAGCAAAGTTTCTGTTTTTTTGAAGAAGATATCATGTAGAGGACTGGGCCTCCAGGCTGGAGATCATAATGATCCCTACATGAGTGGTGGTTTTTCATCCGAGCATGCCTGTCAATATCAATTGGTTGGTTTAAGCTGTTGGTGCCTTTTGGTGGATTTGCAAGGCTCATTGATGTGACATTCTTATCAGGGCTGTTCAGTGTTTCTGTTCCTCTGGACAGTTTGTCTTCCTCGCTGTTAATAGGGGCTGGAGCCTTGACTGCTGTTGTTTGCATTCCTTAGTGGCCTGCCAGTGTGAGGTTGGTCTGTGGAGATACAGAATTCCTCCCCCCCCCTTTTGGAGCTTGACCTAATTTGCTAATTCATCTGGATAAGTTTATTTACACAATTTCTGTACATTCAGGACAGCGTCTAGGAAATTATGGTTGTAAGTCACTTGAATAATGGCTTTGATTTTAAAATGCCACGGTGAGGGAAAGATCTTCAGTCGCACATTCAGAATTCTATGTAACACAAATCGTGGTCAGCTGTTTTCAAGACTGATTCAAAGAGGATGTTAATGAATATAGAGATACTGCCAGGGACAAACAGATGAACTGGAGGATATCACCTGCAATTTACTTTATGTTTCCCTTTTATAAGCTCCTTATGAGATAAAGGCAGAGATAAGCAGCTCCTCTGCTGCTTATTTTGATCCTTTTGAAAATACCATAATCCAAGTGAGAAATCATTTAATGTATCCTTCATGCTTTAAGTACAATGTATGTACAGGTGTGCTTTTTTGCTTTCTGCTTTTTTGTAGTGTCTTTTATGTGTTAAAGTGCTGGCTTTCTGGTTTGCATTGCTGAGAAAAACAGGAAACATATGCAGACCATTTGTAAAACAATCTTATTTGCTCAACAGAACGCTGTTCTGTTGAAAAGCTTATTATGTAAAATAACAGAAAAATGCAAACCCTCTGTAGTACATATACTACCTAATGTACGTCACAGATATAAAATATCTGTTATTTTCTTTAGCTGTTAGTAAGATTGCTAGTTGCTAACAAAATAAGACTCACATTTTAGGGAGATAAGAGCATCACCTGTGGATGCCTTGTGCCTGGATTTTCACTATCCTTGTTCGGTGAACAAAACTGACCATACAAGTTTTTTAAGCATTTTGCTGGGTAACTGCTGCTGCATAATTACAATAGTTTTATTGTAGTAGCATTATTTTCTTTATCTTCTGCATAGTTTATCAAATTTTGGCTTTCAACAAATAACCATCACTACCCCTTTAATTAGAAATAAAAGAATGCTTAAAATAAACCCACAAGAGTGTTCAGAGAGCAGAGATTTCTTCACCAATAAAGCAGTTTCTCAGTGCTCTATCTGATTTGATATGTATTTGGACTGCTAAGGTGATGGTGGTGAGAAATGATTGTGGCAATCTGTGTTGATATAAACTCTCGGCCGTGCACTATTCAGCACCTGGCTTGGAAATTGTGCTTGGTTTCGGGTGAACAAAGGGGATAGAAAATGGTTCCTAAAACTCTAGCAGTAACCAATTTTTTGTAAATTAAGTTCAAGACTAGAAAGATGTTTCTTTTAACCTGTAGGATTTTTCTTTGAACTCAGGAACGTATATTGTTGCTCTTATTTGAACTGATCACTTTTAAGTGAATGGGTGACCAATATTCTTGAACTTTAACTTTATTGCCATATGTAACTGGTACATGTACTGGTACAATGGAATTCTTACAGAAAGACTCTCAAGTGTTAAAAAAAACTGTAAAACACAAAGTGCAGACAGTGGATCAAGACAGGATACAAACAAACAGTAGACAATGTACAAGTAAACAGTTAAAATGTAAACAATTACTCCAATAAATAAAATTATAGTGAGGTAGATGGTGTAGGTGTGGTCAGAGGGGCATGGCCAAATATGTTCACCAATCGCACTGCTTGTGGATAGAAGCTATTGAAGAAGCTGGTGGTAAGTGTCCGCATGCTCTTGTATCTCTTACCTGAGGGCAGTGGGGTGAAGAGCTCATGTCCGGGCTGGTAACTGTCCTCTGTGATGGCCAGAAGTCTACAACACCAGCAGTCCTCATAGAGCTGTTTAGTCTCTGTGAGACCACAGCCGATGATCTTCTTGGCCACATTCACCATTCTCTGCAGTACCTCTCTCTCGAGAAGAGGTTCGACCACATTACACGGTGATCCATCAGTACTGAGTGGTCTGTGATTGTGCTACCTGTGTCTCCAAAAGTCAACTATTAGTTATTTTATTTTACTCACGTTCAAGTCCATGTTATCGCTATGACACGACCTCAGCAGCTGGACGACTTCATCCCTGTAAGTGGACTCGTCATCATCGCTGATCAGGCCTATTATAGTTTTGTAATGCTCCCAGTTTATTATCTGTGACCTTGACAAGTTTGTTAACAATACCTGAGGTACACCCATTGTATGAATATTATGACCACAACTGTCATAGCATTCATGAAATAGGTCTTCTAGATGAGTATTCATTAAAAATAATGTTATTGTATTTGTCTCCCAGCTGCATACAGATTTTATTACTGAAGTTGTCTTTTTCTAGAGCAAGGCTTCTAGGACTTTTTGAATTTCAGGCCCACCACAAATTCGTAGGCAACACAATGGTGTGGGCCTATGTAAAAACACTTAAGGTGTTTTGAATTGAAATATGTACTGTATCTGTCTAGTAATCACAGCAAAA